AAAAACTCAACCATACACAGACTATAAGAAACACATTTGGGGGGATAGTAGGGGATAGGAAAGGTAGCAGAATACAACAGTCACTAATATACCATTATGTAAAAATGTGAGTATGTAACAGAAGTGAGTCTGTATTATGTATTTGGGGAGTTCAAAACCCAATTGAGTCGAATGTATGAAAGATGATATGTCTTGAGCTCTGTAATGTTTTGAACTATCAATAAAAAAAAAAGAAACACATTTGAAAACACATTTAAAAATAAAAGGTTATAAAAAGATATGCCATGCTCACAGTAGGTAGGGTCATGCCAGACAAAGTATGATCCCCAACAGGAAAAATTAACAAGTTGGACATCATCAAAATTAAAAACCTCTGCTATTAAAAAGATATTAAAAGAATGGAAAGATAAGCCACAGATAAAAAGAAAATACTTGCAAATTTTATTTCTGGTACAGGAATTGTGTTTAGAATATATATAAAGAGTCCTTAAAAATCACTAATAAGAAAATTTTTTTAAAGTCATTTGAATTTTTATAAAAAAGCAATCAATTTGAAAATGAAATACTAACATAATTTTCTTTACAGCATAAGAATATTAAATATTATTAAATAATATAAGTATAAATCTAACAAATAATGCTCAAGAGCCCTGCACAAAAAGCAAAACTTTTTACAGAATTAAATAGTATTTAAAAATTGAAAGATATTCCGTGTTTAAGGATTGAAAGAAAGTCAGTGTTCCCCAAACTGGTCACAGTAATTGTCATCAAGGTCCCAACATATCACATGTGTCTAGAATCTGACAAAATGATTCTAAAATTTAAATGGAAATATAACTGTTGAAGAATTGCAAAGTCACTTTTACTAAATTTATTTATTCTTATTCCAATTTGTTATATATGACAGCAGAATGCTTTACAATTCATATTACACGTATAGAGCACAATTTTTCATGTCTCTGGTTGTATACAAAGTATATTCACACCATTCCCATCTCCATACAAGTATCTGGGGTAATGATATCCATTTCATTCCACCTTCTTTTCTACCCCCATTCTCTTCCCTTGCCCTTCCACCCATTTGCCCTATCTAGAGTTCATCTAATCCTCCCATGCTCCCCATCCCCTACCCCACTATGAATCTTATATCAGAGAAAACATTCGGCATTTGGTTTTTTGCAATTGGCTAACTTAACATTATTCTCAAACTCCATCCATTTACCTGCAAATGCCATGATTTTATTCTCTTTTATTGCTGAATAATATTCCATTGTGTATATGTACCACAGTTTTTTATCCATTCATCCACTGAAGGTTGGTTCCACAATTTAGCTTCTGTGAATTGTGCTACTATAAACATTGATGTGGCTGTGTCCCTAACCCTGTGTGGCTAAGTTCTTTGTGTATAGACCGAGGAGTGGGAGAGCTTGGTAAAACGATGATTCCATTCCCAGTTTTCCAAACAATCTCCATACTGCTTTCCAGATTGGCTGCACCAACTTGCAGTCCCACCAGTAATGTATGAGTGTGCCTTTCCCCCCACATCCTCACCAATGCTTATTGTTGTTTGTATTCTTGATAGCTGCCATACAGACTGGAGGGAGATGAAATCTTAAAGTAATTTTGATTTGCATTTATCTGATTGCTAGAGATGTTGGAACATTTTTTCATATATTTGTTAATTGATTGTACATCATCTTCTGAGAAGTGTCTGTTCAGTTCCTTGGCCCATTTATTGATTGGATTATTTGTGGGGGGTTTTTTATTTTTTGTTTTTTGTTTTTGGTGTTAAGGTTTTTGAGTGCTTTATATATCCTAGAGATTAGTGTTCTATCTGATGTGCTTGTGTTAAAGATTTGCTCCCATTCTGTAGGCTCTCTATTTACCTCACTGAGTATTTATTTTGCTGAGAAGAAGCTTTTTAGTTTGAATCCCTCCCATTGACTGATTCTTGGTTTTAATTCTTGCTCTATAGGAGTCTTATTGAGGAAGTTGGGGCCTAATCCTACATGATGGAGGTTTGGGCCTACTTTTCTGCCATTAGGCTCGAGGTCTCTGGTTTAATTCCTAAGTCCTTGATCCACTGCAAAGACACTTTTGCAGAACAAGGTACAAGGATTTACACTACCAGACAGGAAGGCTTTTATAAAGCTAAGGTAAAGACATGGTGGTGAAGATAAAGCATAGAAAATGACCCACTTGAAGGAGACCGTTCACTTAGGACCAAGGTAGAACTAGAGAACAGTGTAAAAAGAACAATCTCATAACCAACCATAGAAAAACTAGATCTTTAGTGGGGAGGTATGAATAAATTTGACCTTCCTCCACTTCACACTATACAGAAAAAGCCATTACAGGGGGCTGGGGTTGTGGCTCAGTGGTAGGGTGGTTACCTAGCACGCGTGAGGCACTGGGTTCCATCCTTAGCTCCACATAAAACTAAATAAATAAAGTCAAGGTATTGTGTCCATCTACAACTAAAAAAAAAAAAATTTAAAGCCATTACAGGGGCCCATAGCTCTAAATGTGAAAGAAAAATTATAATTTGTAAATGATTTTTTAAATGGTAAATATCTTCATGACATGGAGAATAGAATAAAAGATTCCTTGGCAGAGTACAAATAGCACCAACCAGAAGGAAAATAACTAGAAATAAGATCTTCTGTTCTCCCACTCCCCCTAAAAAAGATACTATTAAAAGAATGAAAATTAAGACAGTGAGTGAGGGGGGGGGGGTTGTAGCACATTGTCTCCTGTGTGTTTTCCAAAGATGGCCTTGATAGCATCTCCCCTTCCACATGCTTCTCTTCAGCAGGACCTTTCTGCTTGTCAAGAGTGAGTGAGGACTGTCACTGGGCAAGGTTCCAACTACTTTGAGAGCATGAGGATTCCACCTGGTTTTCTTGGGTCCCTCACCTGAAGAAGCCATGTGCTGCACACAAAGTTCAACTAGAGTGTTGTGCTGGAAAGCCCATGAATGGGTGCACCAGGCCACAGCCACAGCTGAGCCCCCAGACATTCAACCCAGAGAAGCCTTCAGATAGCTGACAGCAACCAAACTTGCAAGACCCCAACCAAGAATTTCCACAGTCAAACCCTCTTCTCAAATTCTGACCCTCAAAACCATGAGCAAAATAAAATAGGCATTGCTTTGCACCACAACATTTTGGAGTAATCTGTTCCACGGCAATAACAACCAGAACTGACAGAATATATTAAGAACTCCTACAAATCAACAGAAAAAAGACTGACAATGGGCAATAATAGGAGCAAAAGGCTTGAAGTCCAAATGACCAATTATAAAAACATGCTCCACCTCAGTGTTCATTAGGGAAAAACGAATCAAAACCATAATGAGATGCCACTACAGAACAACTAAAATGGGTAAATTTTAAAAATCAAAACTGACACTATTATGTGAGTGAAGATATGGAGCCCTCCAAACCATTTACATCACCCACCACCATAGGCACGCTAAACAGTACAGATAACTTGAAAAAAAAATACTTGGCACTGTTTATCAAAGTTGAAGACCCATACCTAGCAAATGAAAGAGAGAAAGCAAGGCACATGTTCACCAGGAGATATATATATATATTCATAGCAGCAAAACTTGGAAACCAGTAACAACTCAAACTTTCATCAATAGTATATGGACAAATAAATTGATAAATTTGATGTATCAAACAGTGGAATACTATGCAGCTATGAAAATGAGCAAGGTATAGCTTAACATAGTAATATACAGATAAATCTCATAATTGATTATGAGTAAAAGAATATATATGGTATGAATCCATTTAAACAAGATTAAAAACACTAACAAAATATATATTTGGGTGATAAAATATAGAGAAAACAGGGAAATGATAAGGCCAGGATACTAGAAAATTGGAGGCTTAGGGATGATAAGGGGCCTATGATGGAAAATGAGAGCGGTTTCTGGATTGCCAGTGGCATTCAAATCCCTTGTTGGAAACATATTTATCTCATATTTATAATACATTGGTATCTTAAATATTTTAGGTAAATACACTACACCTTACAATAACTTTTGGATATTATTAAAGGTTGAAAAAGGGAATCTAGCTTCATTTGTTATTCAGTTTTCTAATTTCCCCCAACGCTGTTTATTTGATTATCAAAACCTTCCCCACTACTTTGTGATTCCAACTTAATATCATATTCAATTCTTAGCTGCACTAGAGAGAGTTGGTAACAGTTGTTATCAACCAATTTGGTCTTGGTTTCTGGCATGGACCTAAGGACTGGGAGGAGGGCATGGAAAAAGTGTGAATGGAATAAATAAAAGCAAGAGAGAGGTTGCAATAGTCATCGTCATGGGATTTATTTTAAAACAGGAAAATTCTAGCGACGGAACCAAAAAGAGAAAGGAAGTCTGTGGTAGGGTTTGCCAAGCCAGAAAGTAAAGCGTCACCTGATAAAAGGACTTATGAATGAGCTCAGAGCAAAAATATTTGGGTGAGATCTAAAGCTGAGGCCAGATCTTCAGGATCAGGAGGAGCGGTCAACTATATTGGTCCTGGGCTCAAGGGTGCAGCTTCCATGGACACCAAGGAGGTAGTAAGGCATCTGCTGAAAGTTTTCAAAGATTTAGCACTACTATTTTCAAGTTAAATTTATTACCTTTTTCCTTACTCCAGTGTTTATTGATGGAAGGAGATTACAGAAAAATACGTAGTGACCCATTTTGTTGGTCCTTGTCTGCCACGCTCTGGTTCCTTCGTCAGCCCACAACCGACTTTTACAGTAACCTGCATTCCTCGCCCGCCGCGATTGGCCCTGAAGAGGGCGGTAGTTGACTTGAAGGGACGATTACCCTGGACTTGGACTGTGCGAAGGATGCACCCTTGACGTTCTGCGAAGGATTGAGGTGCAGTGGACCGTCTAAGGCGACGGTGACCCGCCCTCCCCCAGAGCCCCGCCCCGACCCCGCCCCCGGCCCGCAGCCCAGTCGGGGCCCCGCCCGCGCTCCCCGCTGCGCGCTCACACTCCCAGCCCAGAGCTGCGGTGGCCGCGCAGGTCCTACCCGCGTCGCAGCGGCCGGAGATGCAGCCGGGCGCCGCGCTGTGCCTGCGCCTGTGGCTCTGCCTGGGACTCCTCGACGGTGAGCGCCGCGAGCCGTCGGCTTGCGCCAGGGTTGGGCTGACTGCTAAGGGGAGCCGCGCGCCAGGGTTGGGGGGGCAAGTGGTTAGATGGCACCAGTGGGGTTCGGGCGGGGGACAGGACTGTCCAGGAGCACAGGGGTGCGGACACCGGATGGAGCACGGCGGGTTGGGACTAGGGACCGCCGGGATGAGGAAAGAGCGGGCGGGGACTGCAGCCGGGTCAGGGACGAGGCGACCAGTCTGCGCGTCAGCGCTGGGATAATCCTTGGGATCCCAGACTTCGCTGTACCTTCAGTGGCTCAGCTTCCTTGTAGGCTGGCCCCTTTGGGCTGCATCCTTAACCTGGATCCTTCATTTCTTTATTCACTCCCCCCCCCCTCCCGCGGAGCTCTGGCGCAGCGCTACTCGGTCCCAATCAGTTCTCATGCACTGGGGATTATTCCCTGGGAGCCCTCAGAGGTGACAATCCCCGCCCGACTCCAGACTTCTTGGGTGCGCACTTCCCGACGCCTCGGGGTCAGCGCTGGAAGTCCATCCCGGGAGGTCCCCCAGAGGGCGCACCGGACGGGCGTCCACCTTCCCCAGGGCAGAGACAGTAGCAGCAGGGGCAACTGCAAGGGAACCAGTAGTCGGGGATGAGGACCCAGGTGCAAAATTAAGATTAATCTCGAGTCTGTGAGCGGTCAGCTTGCAGAAGTGGTACGAGGCCGAGGTTCCCCGGATTTGAGAAGATAGAAGTCTTGAAGGCCAACTGAATATTAAGGCAAAGGTCGCCACCAAAGGGTCTTGTTGAAAATATGGGTAGAGACCCAGACCCAGGGCTGAGGTAGGAGAGAAGTGTGGGGGACAAGGAAAAGAGCGGAGGAGTTGAATGGAGATGCTTGGAAGAAAGCATCAGGGGTGAGGAGAGAATGAGCTGGTGTCTCTGGAAATCAAGAGGTTGAGGAGGGTCTTGGTTTGAGAGAGGAGTGCTGAGAGGCCTGAAGGGAGAGATGGAACCAGCACTGTGTTTGCATGTCATAAAATTTAATACTGACTTTACATACTTCATCTCTTAATTATCACAGTCAATGTCAGACCCATTTTCACACATGGAAAAACTTAGACCAAGGACAATAATGTAAATTCTCAATGTCCTCAGGAGACCTGAAGGAAGACAAGTAGTTCATCTCCGTCTTTGGGATACCAGGGCTCTGTTCTCTGCTCACCATCTCTATCTTCATAGGCTGAGGGACTGAGAAGAGCAGAGGTGAAGGTGGTATGGTTGAACTTGAAGAAAGGGGGAGATGGACATCTGTCTGAGCTTTTGTCCTCCTGATCAGGGGAATAACCTTGGACCATTTCTTGCTACCCTGTATCCAGCCCAGGGCCAGAATCTCACAGATGCTCAGTATGTGTTTGTTGAGTGACTGAGTAAACTGTGGGGCAAGGATTGAATAGGGCCCTTGTTGGAGGGCAAGATGAGGAATGGGAGACCTTGCACATACACACACACACACACACACACACACACCTTAAAGGGATGTCTCTCAAGCAGCAGGTGACTATACCAGAAGCTCAGGAGGGAGGATGGGTTGGGTAGCTGAAGTGGAAATAGGGCAAGGAGTCCAGTAGGGAACTCTTGAGGAAGGGAACCTGGAAGGAGGGGGGTCTTCCAGGGAGATAAGGATATTCTGCAAGTAAAGGAGGACCAGGAGAGGCCAGCATGAGTGGGAGGTAGAGGAGTAGAGGGAGGTGATGTCATTCCCTGTAGTAAGTGACAGTGACTCTCAGCAAATCATGTCGTGAAGGGAAAGAGGGGGTATTAGCTGAAGGGGTATATCCCAGGCTAGAACTGGGTGTGACTGGTGAGGAGATGCTAATAGAGACAAAGACCATTCCTCCTGAGCCCTGAACCTTGCTTCATCCGTCTTGTTGGGCTGAGGAGGACCTCCGACTGCTGGAAGTGCTATAGCAGGAATATGAACCCCCAAGTGCATGGGTTGGGGGTGGAGCTCAGTGGTAGAGTGTTTGCCTAGCATGCAGGAGGTCATCAGTTTGATCCCCATCACCCCTAGAGAAGGAGAAAGTCCCTAAGTAGAGTCAGGCATCAGGAAAGCCAGATGCAATCAGAGAAGCTTTTTGATTCCCCCCAAAGATGGTTGAACCAGACTTTTGCCTAACCCTGCCCCAAAGTTCTTGCTGTGTGGCCTGAGCCCCTCCTTTTCCCTCCCTGTACCTGAGTTTCCCCATGCACAGCTGTGGGACAGGCTGGCAAACAATCAGGGGCTGGATGTGCATAGGCTGGATTTTAAGAATTAGGATCCTGGTCTAGTTTCACAGTCTGGCCACAGCAGTGTCTCCATGGGAAGAGCAGATGGCAGACAGAAACCCCAAGATGCTTTGTCTTTTTCAGTTTAGTCTAGAAGAGAGGCTGTTTACACCTTTGAACAGTGGGCAGCTAGCTCTGGGACATGCAGGGGAATAAGGAGACTGCTGGGCAGCTAGATGGGCTGGACTGAGAGTGCTACCCCTTGCCATGGTCTGAGTCACACATGGCTATCCCACTTTCTGTTATACCTGCTCCTCAGTCCTAACCCAGACCCAGGGTGGGGGAGTAGGGCGGGGATGAAAGTCAGTGCAAGCAGGTCATGGGGGTCTGGGCCCACCTTACTGAGCCCATCTTATGGCCCTAGTTCAGTGCTCTGGGGACTCAAATGCAGGTGCTACCCACTTGCCTACCATGCCTGAGGTAACCGAGCCAGTTTGGCTAAAGGAGTCCTGCTCCCTGTCCAGAGCACAGTGTCCAACAGGCCCCAGACAGGGTATTGCAAGTGCACTGTCTGTTGAACTCCCCAGTTGCCAGGGAAGGAGGCTGCAGTTCTGTACAAGACGCAAGCCATTGTGCCTGCTCAGGGTGGTCCTGCAAGGGTTTGGACATGGCACTGAACTGCAGGGGTTACCTATGTGCCAGACTGGCCAGGACACCGACATGGCATCAAATGTCTGTAATCCAGGGATGAAAGTGTTCAGTGGCCCAAGTGAAGCCCAGCTGGTGGGTTGTGAACTGCACAGGAAGGCAGTGTCACTTCCAGTTAGGGACTTCCTGGAGAGGTCTGTAGAACTCCAAGAAAGGGAATTCCAAGCAGGGCAAAGAATACCTCAAAGACAGGAAAGTCCAGATGGTACATGGGGACAAGTGAGTGATCAAATGAGGCCAGAGCCTGAGATGCGGGTGGGGAAAGACCAGGCAACAGAGAATGACAGAAACTAGGAGACTGCTGTCCAGGTGAGGCAGGAGTCAGGGAATTGCAAGTGGATGAACCCAGGAAATACTGTTAGTAACAGGATAGTGGAAAGAACAGGAAGAGGAGCAGGTCCCTGGCTTAAGCAAACAGGGTGGATCCTGAGACAATTTATCAGATGGAGAGGAGCAAATGTGGAGAAGCATGGCCTTCAGGTGGAGGTATCCAGTGCAGGACTTCCCAGGAGACCCCAGGTGTCACAAGTAGGATAAGGAAGGAGGAAATTTGGGAGCACTTGAGTGACATGGGGCAGAAGGGAATGGGGAATAGGATGGGGCAAAGAAATGAAGTTTTAGCATGACAGAGAACTTCCTCTCTGTGTCTATCTTACATCTCTCCTGCTGCCCTTTGGGTGTTTTCCTCTACAGGATAGGTCTTTCTCCCCAAGGGCTTACCCTATGCTAATCAGCTCTCTGAGACACACCGGCCACCTACGGGGGAAGGGGGGGGACGGGGGGGGGGCAACCTTGGATTCCAGAAGGAAGGGCTTGCTCCACTAGCCCAAGAAACTAGTCCCTATCTGGGGAGAGGGATGAGGGCAAGAAAGGTTCACACCTGTGTTTTAGAGCAGTCTCTTGGGGGCAAGCAGGAAGGCAAATTTCAGAAAGATGTTGGAAGCAAGAGTGGGGATGAGGCTGAGTAGGAGGACTGGACCCGTGGGCAAAAAGAAGAGTTCAAGGAACTTCTCACACTCTAGGCGGACCATCGATAGAGAAGCAGCCGACATATCCCAGCTGGAGCCAGGGATTCCTGACTTTCGTTCCTTTTCAGACACTGGCTTCCTCTGGGATCTGAGTTTTCCGGTTATGCGGAGGGGACAAGTCTGGGAGCAGGAAGGTGCGGGCATTCCATGCTGGAGGAGGATCAGGGCGCCTGCCCTGCCCCTGCTGGGCGGAGCAGACAGCAGACACGCCCCCCCCCAGCCCCGCAGCTTCTCCTCTGCCCACGCCACCTCCAACCCAGCTGAGCTTAGGCAGTTGCAGGTTTGGGTGGCAAGTGGGGGAGCCCCCGCCACGTGGCCGGCAAGGTCAGCAGGGGTTCATGGGAAAGGACTTGTCGGTCACAGAAGAGGACATCCTGCCTGCGTTTCCCTCTTCCTGCAGCAGGAGCTGGTGGCCCCGATTTAGCAGCACTGGGGGGCCACCTCGAAACCAGCTGGACTGTCTGATAACACAGCTCGTCCTGTCGACTGGTGAACGGAGTCCTGACCCCAGAGAGGCCAGGGTAATGGCCTGACACAGCTGGCTGCACCACAGCAGCCCTGCACCAGGTGCTAGCATCTGCTAGGGTCACCTCTATTCCTTAAACCCCACCACTAGGTACTCAGGCAGCCCGCACTCAGAGGGAGAAGGGGGGTGTCAGTGTGAGACACACTCTCACAGTCAGTGTGAGCCACACCGCAGTAATAGTTCATCAAATTGCTTCACACTAGAGTATGTGCAGGTTTTAGCCTTGTGAGAAAAACTTCATTATGCATCCCGCTTTTTTGTGGCTGCTGTTGTTTTGCAGTCCTGAGGAATCAAACCCAGGATCTCCTGCTTGGTAGTCAAGTACTGTACATCTGAGCTTCATCCTGAGCTCCCATTTTGCCCATTTTGAAGATTAGGAAATTCAGGACAGAGGAGTGAAGTGGCTCACTAGATGCTAGGTGATAATGGTGAATTGGCTTATTTGAAGGAGGTGATGGATGTCTGGCCCCAGATGGCATGGGGACC